AAAGCTGCACTCTTCCCTTTGTCAGCCGCACGACTTGATGCGGCTACAGGAGGAGCAATGTCCGTTGTAGACAAAGGAGCTGGCAAGGTCTGTTGCTGAAGCAACAGATCAAAACGTCTTACCAAGTCTTGAACGCCTCCTTCCAGGGATGTGATCTTCGAAAGTCCAGTTGTTATCTCATCGCGTAAGCCATCCAGTTCAGAATGCAGAGAAGTCAAGCATTCTTCGAAACCCTCCACCTGCAATGCCACTTCCTTAGTTGTCACCATGGCCGAGGAAAGACGAGCTCTGATACCACTGTTATGTCCCAAAAACTCACACACAGTTCTCAGACCCATAGCAGAGTTCACACAACTAGAACATCAAGAAAATAAATTGGTATTCATAAGAAACATTTAACAGTTGGTCGGTTCTTCGAGAGACCGCCGGCTCTCCCAATCACTGACAATATTCTTCACTCAAAGAAAAGCATACCACCCCTCATCCCCCAAAGCCCCTTCTTATACTCTTCTGATAGCATAACTGACTCCCTCTATAAATGCCCAGCTGGCCTAGTTATAAATGCCAAAAAACTCTTCTTATTCATAACTGATATAGCTATAAATGCCCCAAGACTCTTCCTATTCCCTTCTGACCTCCTCCATAAATGCCCCATGTCTAATCATCTCCCCCTTATGTTGCCTTTTCTTTCTCCTAGCATACGTAAGGTTAATTGGGGGCTTATCATTTGAATGAAAAGGTAGAAAAAGGAAGGAAATATATAGAGAAATTTTTATAAATTTTGTATAGATTTTTCTACCTTTTTCTTTCTTTCTTTACTTTTTTCCTTCAAACCAAACACAATCTTAAAGTCTGGAACGTGGTAATGATGCATGCATAATGATCGAAAGAGAAACAGGGTGGCCAGTAATTATACTGCTCTGCTCCAGGTGGTGCCCTTAGAAAGAATGATGGAAATGAATTGAATACTATATAACAAAAAGTAATAATCACTCTTAATAATGGTGCATTGTGCATCAATGTGCAAGCTGGGCGTTGAACGGAAAAGGTAAACAACTTGTTTAGAAAATTACGCACACACACAAAAATAGAATTTGCCTAGAAGTTAAAACTTATAACTTTAACTTGGTTGAAGAAAGGTGGCTGCACTTGCCACTTGGGCATTGATGAGGGATAATATGGCTCGAACATTGACAAGATGACACGTGGAGTGATTTTATAGATTTGGTAACATCTTGAACACCTTAGTAGTCCAAGTCACATTGGGCACTTTGGGTTACTTAGCTAAGACCGGGGCCTGAGTAGCTCACCACACTCACTGACTTACCGAGGTGCCACGTAGCCTCCTAAAAGCGAGCTAACCATCTCCGATCTCCTCAGGATCACGCCACATGCCAACGGATCTTATCTCTATCCCGCCCAAATCAACAGACCTAGACAGACCTGGATAATAAGCCTTATCAGCTTACACGGAGTTCATCTTCGAGTGCGGAACAGACTCCAAGTTAGATGGGTCGGTTATCTCGGAAACGTTTCAAGAGGCCCACGACAGCTCGCCTATATAAAGATTTCGCCTCCAACCTCACAAGGTATGTGCGATTTAGCTCTCACTTGCTAGTATTCACAAGCTATTAGCTCTCTACAATCTCCTATGCTAACTTAGCACATCGGGTAAAGTACCTTGGGACCTTTGATCTCTTTTGCCTTGTAGTTCAACCGAGCCACGCAGTAGTCCGACGTCCAAGCTGCCTTCCAGTAGGGAGCGACAAGATCGCGCTGCATCAGGCATCATTGTCTTAACTCAGTTTTATACACGCAATGAAATAATCCATCGGTTCCCATATCGAATTTTAAAACAAGTTCAGATTTGCTGCATTTGATGACTGTGTTAGGTAGGGGTGCTCACAAAAAACTGAATTAAATTGAGGAAATTAAATCGAAAAATGTGGTTCATCGAATCGATCGGTTTATGCATTTATATCTATTAGTAGAATGGCCCATGCAGTGTACGGGATATTTGAACCAAAGAATGATACCAGAACCATATATAGATCTTAACCAAGATGGGTGTAGCCACTTGTTTGATTCTTCACTTGTGTTAGTG